TCGACTCAGAACCAGAAAAATATGACCCAAGTTCGATTCCTGGTCAGGATCACTCGTCCTTCTTTTCGAGGTTGATAAATGAGTTCCGCTGTGGGAGAAAGAAACAGGATATTATACACTCTGCTGGCTAAGGACTGTTATCGATTCTGCTATCACCTCTGGCTGATGGCATGGAAATGGATATCAGCAGTCGACAATAAACTTCATGAAATAAAGGGCGCCAAGAATGGAACATCGTGAACATGTGGGGAAGACCGACCTTTTGCCGGTATTTAGTCAGTAAGTCTTGCAGGTAAGGTCTGTAAAAGGATTCAGGTATTTTAGAAAACTTTAAGCTCAGTGCTGGTCCAGCATAACATAAGAAGAAGAATGTACCTCACATCCTTGTAGTTTTGCTAGTGACTTTGCAATTAATTTGTAAAATAGATATCAAAAAAGCTTCATTATCCTATTCTGTATGTGACGGCAAGTAAGAACTACACTAAAATTAACGAGTAACGTAATAGACGTCCTGGTTAATCCTGGTTGGTCCCTTCTATTTAGTACCTGACGAAGCCTTCACCAAGATTTTGCGGCAAAACTGTGTCACTTAACGTACACGCTGCTTCAACAAAAATTTTGATTCTTAGTCTTCCCGTCCAACTGAAGGAATTTTCATAATCTGCTACCTGCTTCTCGGAATTTGGTCTGATATCTGATTTAGTGCGGATTTATTCATCCTGCAATATCCAGCCGATAAGCAAGTTGGCTTTGTACTCAAGGTGCCGATTCCAATCACCTGAAGGAACAGCATGTCTCTCATAACCGTTAATTCTCTTTAACAAGAAATCCATCCCATGTGGACGGAGCAGTTGGTACCTTCTACGTGCTACCACATGAATTAAAGTTTTAATTGAACTGAGACTTGATTCCAGCGAAGTACATTGATTTTGCCACCACTTAGCTACGTTAAGATATTGCTAGCCACTTATGATTGTAAAGCGCTAGGGATTTTGTAAATGAGTGAGTGCATTCTCGCAAAGTAGACCCATTATGAACCATCCAGAACTGTTTACTCGCTTTGAACATTAATCTTAATTAATTTTATTTAATATTTGAGTTTTAGCAATTCCTAACGATGTCCTGTCATGAATTTGTTGTTATCATACACAGTAGTTGAAATGCACAAATTTCTGCCTTAATATGTTTACCTTTTTGTGTTATCGACTGACGTTTGCTATTTGTGTACTTTTAGCATTTTTTGACCATCTGGACAGGCTGTGTGGAGCGCTTAATTTCAACTCCGGCATTGGCGAGCTTTCGGTTTACGTAATTACCGCTGTAGATTGGCTTAAGTTAATGCATGGTAACAAGGTTGTGTAAATCCACGGCAATACGGTTTTCTCCCTGGTTATTTACCGGTCAGTTATGATACATTGGCCGATATAACGCGAACAACAAAACGTAAACGGTCATCGATCATTGTCGCAGTTCCTGCCTGTTCCAGTCTTTTATACGCGCCGTCCGTGAACTGCACAGCACTGTCCGAGCGAGCCATGGTTGTATCACAGTAGGCAAATATCAACAATGAATAAAGTGGATTTTGTTATTATTTATTACCGTGCGTAATTCATTGATCCTGTCTTTGTGAAGACACCGGTTGACCTGTTATACATTCCTGTCAATACGCAGCACCATGTGACAGCAACGTTAAGATGTTGTCGGTTGTCCTAAACGGCTTTAAATTCTGAAGGTTGATTTTATGATGTTGGTTTATTTATGGAATGAATTTACTTCGTTCGCATTTTCGCCAGAGTCGTTTTTTTTCAGAATTAAACTTTTTTAGCATATGTACGTAAGAAGCGCTTCGCACCGCGATACGTTTTACACTGGTAGACGGGTCGAGTGCGACGTAGAGTCGAATTTATTTTTTCGTTGCAAAGTTGGACCACTGGCAAGTTCGTTTTTGGTGGCCACTGCTTTCGTTTTATGTAGTAATTTAACGTCTCTGTCAATCATAGACACCACCAAGAAGTCCATTTAAATTATTTAATAGCAGGTTATTTCATGTGCTGACTTTCGGTCATCGGTCAGGTCGGCCACTAGAAGTTTAAGGCATACAACGCCTGCATAAAGCTATGGCCTTGAGCCTCGCAGTAACTGGCATGACCACATCGGAACACTGTGCTGTCAGCACTATTCGCAATACATCAACTTTCTGAGGTTACAGTTTGACGTTGCACAGCAAGATTGAAATTATAAGTTAATGAAAAATTTACTGTTCTTCAAAATTTTACGTTTAAGGTAAGCTGAATGATGAAATAATGTCACCGTTTACCATTGAAATAGAGCTCAAGTCTGGGACGTGATAAATGACTGAAGATAACAAACGTCTTCTTTAAAACGCAAAGGGTTGAGCAATTTAAACAATAGTATTGTCCCTCTAATGGCAAGAAAATTTCACGTTCTACGTGATTTTCCCCTCATATCCTATCGATTATACGTCGATCATACATGAAGTTTCTATAAGTGGTGCATTATCGTAAATGCTACTGAAACCCTTCATGCGCGTAATACCGATGGTTTTAAATAAGGGCACTTCGATCTGCAAATCAGTCCTCCACTGTATACTCAAGCAATGGTCTAAAACGTTTTATGTGAATATTCAAATTGCTTCCTGGAAAAAACATCCATTCCGTTTTGATTATGATTTAACCGTGATGAATTGTGAAACTGTGTAGTCTAGTGAGTGCCTTCATCCAATTACTGTCAGTTTTTAAGGTTCAGTTTCCTTACAGGGCGTGCTAATAAACTGAATTTTAAAACAGCTATTTATGAAAAGCGGCAAGAATCGCCTGTTCCAATGGCTGTATCACGTGGAAAGTCGAAAGACTATTCAGGAATCAGTGTTTGATACAGCCATGACCCTGTGCATCATTAGTATGCAGTTCTGATGGCGATGTGTCGAGAAGCGCTGATTGCTGAACAAGGAATTTAATTAGATTTTCCTTTGCACAACACCCTCTAACCACCGAAAAAAAAATCACTACGAATTTTAGAAGTGATTAACTTTAGTACTAGGATAATGCACCATAAGAGCTGCTGGGCGCAGACGCAATTACTAATTTCACTGTTGCATGCAAAAAAAACGAGAACGCCGCTTCTATGCTAAAGCGATAGCGCTCTGTCTAGACAGTCATTGATCTGCGTTTGAACTCTGACGAAGTTACAACCACTAACTCGAATAGAACGCAATGACATTGTCGCGTTTAACGTTCGTCAGTGAATAAAAGCATTCTATTTTTCGTGCCAACAGTCCCTGAACCAAAAGACCTTAAATGCCTACCTAAACTATGCTTAAATCAGAAAATCCTTTCGCTGAGTTCTAACATGATGAATATAGTTTAAGTGACCGTGATCAAGATACCAAAACCTTTTCTGAAAAGTCTAACACCAAAAATATGGAAGGGTTTTCATAGGCAAACTGAGAATATTAAGGTGCGTATGCAGGAACATTCGGCTACAGATCTGAAGATTGCATATAACAATTAACCCTCGATGAGCACAAATTGGATTGAATACTTTAATGTACTAAGCCTTTAATTCCTGTTTGATATACGCTTAAACCTTTCAGTTAAAAGCTCTGTTCATTTAGCAGCCTACGCAAATAATGAGTGTTCGTCATCCTGCGAAATATGTAAATAATCTTGCTGCTGAAACAATGAAGAAAAAATTGGTAGACGAAAATAATGATGAAGCCAAACTGTGGCAAGGCCGTTTTCCTGGATTACTTGTCTGGTACACAAATTCCACGATGAAGTGAAATAATACTAGTAAATTTTGCTTCTTACGATGCCAAGAAAATATGTGCCTTCCATGTGGTTCGCCTGACCGATAACTAGTAGATCTTCACAATTACAAACTATGTTCCGCTGGACCACATGCGTCGAATCGGTCGTTCAGAAACCCAAATTCAGTGGAATGACTGGAGAAGCAAGCCGTTTTCTAACTCATCTGCTGCCTGTGCTTAGCCCGGGTGAGAAAGGAGGAGGGTTGAAGAATGTGGCGAAGTCTCCGTGAAAGTTCGCCAACTGCCTTTCGTGGAATTGACGCCATCGAAAAATATACCGGCTCGGTCGACGCTAGCGATACCAAGGTACGCGCAGGCTGTTGGGCGGGCAGGAGGGCATTGAGGCAAACTGCGAAAAGTCGGCGATCAGAACCTGTTCATCGACCTCTGCAAGCTGGGTACGCAACAGCACAACAACGACGAAGATACTAGTCGGCAACGGAGTCGCCACCCGTTTTGAACGGAGGAGGCGGACAGGGAGATGCCATTATAGCACGTCAGAATAGAATCCACGAGAACGACACCACCAATGGAAGCTATAAGTCGGAAATTGGAACATATCCTCACTCAGAGGAAAAGAACATGAATTAGTTGACAAGACCACGAAGTACCAACTCGACATTGTTGGACTCTCGTCAGCAAAACGCCCAGGCTCTGGACTCCTGAACCT